TGTATAGAAGAGAGACGGAAGCAGAAAGAATCCTTCAAGCGCGTTATTGGCCGAATAGAATAGTAAAGTAGGATACGGTGGGTAACTGGGCAGACGAGACGATCTTTCTGGCGCCATCTGTAAGCGAAAACTTGAAGCAAAAGCAGTGCCTGGTAAAAACGCTCGATTACTACTCACAATCAGACTGAAAATTCCGCGCACGTCACAGGGCGGCAGCTTTTAAAGAAGAAACAGAACTCCCACCCTTTCTCCTTTTTCCCTCTCTCTCTCTCTCTCTTTCTTACCCTATCGTAAACGGTAGTTCGAAGAAAAATTCCTACCAAACTCGATTTTAGCTAACTCTCTCCGTCGTATTCAAGCCTTGCATCTGTTTTTCTTTCCACCTAAGAACATTTTCTCGACGATTACTCGTGGCCCTTTTCGAAGCAAAACTCCAACCGCAATCTCTCCTAATCTGATTTCGTTTACAGCTTTTACCATCTTCTCGCTAGCTTGTTCCTTCGCGACTTTTCAAAGCATACTTTCGACTTTTCTCCTCCAGCTCTCGTTCATCCTTATTTCTTTTGCTATTCAACTTTTATTCTCTTATTTCGTTCGAAGAGAATTTACGGAAAACCTTTGGAAAACGCGTGTACTTTCAAAAATTGAAAAGAGTTGTTTTGAAGGTAAAAGGTAACACAATTTTTCATTATAATGATTAGTAGTGTATTCTGATATTTTCTGGAAATAATCACGATATTGGTATAGAGCACAATCATAATTGTATAATTTTAATTTTACTAACAGTACAATTATAAAAGTATTAAAAGTAAAAATATAAGCTTACGATAATGATTGAATTCTGTATCTTATAATAAGATGAAGAATATAATGAGTATTCGAAGTTTTCACCAATCAGTCAACTTTACAATACAATACAAATTACAACATAAATTTATAAGTACTAAGGAGGATTACACTTATAACATGAAATAAGAAATAGTGAATGCAAGTGTAGCTTCAGCCTTATAAAAATGTGTCTGACAATGTTGTTAGTCGAGAAAAAGTATGAATAAATAGGGTGACAGATGTTGTCAGTAGTTTTTACTACTTGCCTCATATGTTACTACTTTCTTATAATGAAAGAAAATGTACGTAAGTGGGACTGCATAGAATATAAGATAGTAAATTCGTGGGAAATTATTTCCTATGGGTTTTCAACGTTGATAAAAATTTACGTTAGTAGTTTCCACGTTTGATGAATTGTATAATATTTCTTTTATAGATTTCACATACTATCTGTAGAAATGAAAATTTGAATCTTTCTTCGAAACTTTTGTGATTTTTCAAAAGTAACGATGAGCCTCAAGAATCAGAATTCTCTAAGGTGTTGCACTTCTCGGAATGATAACAAACGATTCGGTAAATAAGAGAAAAAGTTAGAGTCGTTGATGTGGCAGTACCAATTTCGTATCTACTCAATGCTTTCAAACTTTTTGATGGAAAAATCTTTTTTTTTCCTTATATCTCTTCATTTTTCTCTATCATTGTTTGCTTGTTCTTTATAGGAAGAACTTTCTATCGCAGTTTTCGTACTTTGAAATTTCATAATATTAAATATAAGAAAAATGAAAAAATCCCTTAACTTGAAACGTCAATCTAACATTTTGTTCTTTTTTATGAAACTGTCGAAGAAGGCGAATAAATTAAAAATAGATCATGAAATATAACAAAATGACAATACGATAAAAAGTTTTCTCATTGGACGAACGATTTGAATAAATAAAAAACATATTTCAAAATGATCTCCTCTACTTTCTTTATTTAACCTTGAATGATAATTCCTAATAAAATAATTAAAAATAAGAAATAAATATCAATGAGTTCAATTATCTATATAATATTATATGCACTTCATATCTATATCTATTTTGTTTTGTCATAAATTCACTTTTTCCAAATCAAAATGTGATTTTAATTTGAAATGCTTCGGAATGAAGTGAGTTTTCTTTGATCTTAGAAAACAGTCGAGTTGCATGAAACGTTCTTATTCGTTGCATACAGTTGATCTATCGAATTAAAATGTACGACGATCGATTTGCCGTCGTGGAAACGAGTCTCCCGTGGAAATTGTGCAAAAGCGCTGCCTCGCTGAACCGAAGAAAAGCTCGGTCCCACGGGAAAGCTCTGGAAACTTGCTGAAACGGAAGAGTGCTTCCTACCGTCGGCGTCGGTATCCTATTATCCTATTTTGCCTGCGTAACGGACGTACATATAATATGTATAGCTGAATTGCATCGAGAGTACATGTAAAACGTCGTTTCCATGATTTTGCAAAATTTTGGAATATTAACGCAAAAGTATGTACTTTTTGCTTGGTGAAAAGTTAAAATGAATTCTCGGAATGACAATTTGCATTAGCGTTCAACGGACCAGATTTGATTTCATTTATTTTAAACGCTACCGAACAAAGAATACATTTTTTTCTCCTTTTTTCTCCTTTTTTTCTCCTGTGTAACTGTAATTTTTAATATGCTTTGTACGTCTTGCGTATGACAAATTTGAGAACACTTTGTAATAAAATATAATGTTATCGAAAAATTACACAAGAATTTTTTATTTTTTTTTTTTTATATATGTATATTATAGAATTTATACGAAATACGTACGTATATATATATACACGTATGTAACAGACCATTAAAAAAAAATTCATATACTTGTGGTGTGTATATATGATGTTTTTTGGATTTAGTCATGTTGTATTCGCTTGTGTAAATCACTTTCCGCATACATCAAACTTTGGATGTAACATATTGTTCTGAAATGTGGAGAAACGAGACGTGCTCAACATGCAATACGATATTTCGAAGTGAATAATTATTCGGAAAGTGTGTGTTCTTGTTTAGTATCCCTTCCTCCCTTTTCCTACCCCCCTAACTTCGATTTTGTTTCTTAACGAGTAATATTAATATAGGCAATACTGATGACAAAAGAAAATGAGCAAAACATAGTAAAACAAATAAGTATACACTTTGTATTCGTATTTGATGACAAAATAAATAGATGATAAGGATGAAGATATGGTAGAAGATGATAATATAAGTAAAGAAAAGAAATATAATAGGAGAGAAAAAGAAAGAAAGATTCGTTTTCTGTCGATTGTTTATTTTTAACAATAAACAGAAATTTACACATGATAGCACTTGTCGATAAAATATCAAATTGTGATGATATATAAAAAATGATAAAAAATGAAGATTCAAAAGAAAATAATTTTTTAGTTAGATTTATTAGTAAAATTACAAATTAACATTTGTTTGATATTTTCAAGACGGTTACATTCATAAATTCGTATACTTGGATTTAATTTCTTAAAAATATAGTTTAACTTGATTATAGGATTTAGAAACGATGCCTTTCTTCGCGGTAATTTCAATATGACATAGAGAACAAGATCAGGGAAGTATATAAGTCGTGGAGTTCACAAACCTTGTTTGTGCCAGCGATCAAATCTCCGGTACGACAATGAGCTCGTCAAGCATTGAAATCTTTGATTTCTTTACACAAATTTCAATAAATATGTAATTAATACATTTTAGATAAGTTGTAACTTTAAATATATACGTATTTATAAATTTTAAATACATCTACTGTGATATATAACATAATGGAGATGTATATTTGTATAGAAGTTAAACATTTTTGTCACTTTAAGAATATTATTAATTTAAGAACATGAAAAAGAAATTAAGTCAAGTCTTTTTTCGTTTATTTTGATCTTATCTATGTTTTATTTCTTGATAGATAACAAATTAATGAAAGCAAATAATTGAAAATCAAAAATAAATAAAAAATAAACTACTTTTAGCTATCTTAAATTTTTTAAAAGTACTTCCTAATTGAACGTGTAGGTCGGGCTTACTACGAGGTAATAAATATCGATTATCGGTGCTCTTGCATACGTAGTTGTGTATCGCGTGACACAAGTGCGTATGATATATGACATAAAATGGCGAGCTCTCTGTATGTCCGCTAAATTATTAAATACCAAATCATCGAGGGAACGTTATATTTCATCATTATAGATCGTCATTGGCGTTAAATAACACGTCATTTTACGTATGTACAATGGATGTCAAAATAATTGAGATATTCGATACCACAAAATGTTCAAAAACCTTTGCGCGAATAGTACTACGACTTATATGCAATAATTAATAGAGATAGTAGCAACATCCGTTTTAATTAGCCAATAGTAAGAATATTATCACGAGAAAGTTTTAATCAGTTATTACTTTACTTTCCCGTGGATTATTAATACAAATTTGGATATTTTAGCAGAAATACCCATAGGTACTTAATACTTCGATATAAAATGATAGGGATGTTCAAGAATTCCTTATGGAGTATTCAAACTAATTGAATGTTTCTCTAAAATAATATTCTATCTACCTTTGGCTTTAAGTGTGTTTTACAAAGTTTCCTCAAGGTATATCCACTTGAATTTGAGTATCCTCATTGATGCGCGGTTACGATACGGGAACAAGTTGCAAATTGTCGCAGTAAAATAATGTGCCTAGTCTACCGCTTGGATTGGTATAGTTACGTTGATATATTATTCGCGGTGTTTCAAACTACCTTCAAACAATTTACGTGAAATAAACGTGACGTAAATTTTACTATTTTCGATACCGCATAAGTTCAAACGAAACATTTATTTCAAAGAAATTTTCATTGAAATAATGTTGAAATTAAAATACGTAATGAGATCGATCGGTCATATTAACGATCTGTAATAGAAAATAAATGATTTCAATTTACTGTAGAAACAGTATTTACAAAGTAACATTGGGAAAGAGAACGAAATAATTAACGTTGAATGTCAATATCGAAATATGTTATCTTTCTGTATTTGATTGCCTTTCTTTAACGATTATTAATTAAAATGATATCAACATAACAAATTTTCATATTAATTTATAAAACTACTTATACTAATATGTAATCATATATTTCAGAAGCTGTTTACGATCTACTGGTAACTTCTGTGACGTCGACGGACGATCAGAATTTTTATATCGACGATGGCCTCGACGGATTTCCGGCTTTTGGTTTCCGACCTGGGTCTGAAGTAAAACAACCCTATAGACTTTATCTTCCTGAGAAGTTGCCAGCCGAGTTTACCCTAGTGGCTATCTTTAAGCCAATATCCTTCAGGACTAGCTACCTCTTTGCAGTTCTCAATCCCTTCGAAACTGTTGTACAATTGGGCATTCGAATTTCGGTAACTAAATAACTATATAGTGAGATTTTATGTTGTTTTTAATTTTTGTAGTATTTTATCGTTGAATTATTAGTATAAGATTTTAAAGAACTTAATAAACCTAATTAACACGTTGTTTGTCGCAATACTAATTTTTTATCAAACAGATTGAAATAGATTGAAATAAAAAACTTTATCTACACTCGTATGATTAAAGAATGTTTTACTTTGGTGTCAAAGCATATATGAATAGCCTGTCACATCAGGTTAGTAGAAAAATAACATTTGATTACGTCCCGCTAGCGGGTCACATACCAATCAACGTGTTAATTATACTTAAAATTGTAAACTTTTGTTTTAATCTATAAACAAAAAATTGATAATATTCTTTTTCGATTTGTTTTTTTAAAGGATGGTCCAGGCTCTAATCAGAACATTTCACTGGTTTACACAAATTCCGATGAGCATTCCCTTTCAGAAGAAGTTGCCAAATTCACTGTGCCAAAATTAACGAAGAAATGGTCTAAAATCGTCATTAAAGTGTCTACCACCGATGTCACCTTATATTTAAATTGTCATGAAATGGCCAAACAAAGGGTAACTAGGATTCCTTTGGAATTAGTCTTCGATACTGCTAGTACACTTTACATGGCTCAAGCGGGACCACATATTCAGGAGAGATACGACGTAAGTTATTTAAATATTATTATCAAATTATTTATTATTAAAATTGATTATAAAACTTTAATGTTATGATTTTAACTGTCTTTAAAATTCACGAGTCTCGTTTGAACGCGGGTATCTAAAAAGAAATAGATTCATATTGACTATGATCTACAATGGAAAGAAAATGAAACTTCGTATGTGAAGATAAAGTGAGAGAACTCCAGACAAGGAATATTTAAATTTTTATAGAACATCTCATTTAAAAAAAGATGTGCATAAAGAAATAAGAACGTAGAAAAAAAACTCATAATTTTTGTTTGTACGAGTGCACAGTTATACTCACTTATTATAATTTTATTAATCCATCTGCTTAATGTCTAATGTTAATATTAATTTAAGAACATTCGAATCGAATTTTAAACGAAAAATAAAAGTCTGACTTAACAACGTCGTCCATCAGGCTCCTTGAGATTCGTGATAAAATACAAGTATTCAGGAACTTGAAATTCTACTTAAAGTCTTGTCTTGTCAAAAGTTGAATGATCGATGAATGAAGATTATCGATTTTATTGTGTCGAACAAACCTCAAGAACTTTCGTTAACGTATTTGCTTTTGACATTATCGTTGATTATGTGCTATATATGTGCTATATATATATATTTAATTAATAAAATGTATCAATCAATTTGAAATAAAATATCTTTTATTTTACTTTCATTTTGGTAATGCATATAATAATTACATTCCTATTGCCGTTATTTTTTATTAATTTAACTTGAAAATTGATGTAACCGTACAAAAATTAAAAGTAAAATATCACGAGGGGATTGAAATATTATGTAATACATTAAAAATGCATAAAATATATGGTAAATAATAATCATATGTAAAATATTTTGTAGAGTAACGATTAATCGTTAAATGTAACTTCATTGGCTTTGTTGAGTGTCACGAAGCTATCCACGATGATTTAATCCATACAATAGTCGATAGGAAACACGTTAATGGCTACGGTAACGCCGCGAATTATCTACCTATGACAATTAGTTTCTATTTGAGACGCATTGTGATTCTCGAGTAAATGGCCACGCTTTAAACAGTGTACGGGCTCAGTCGTACAAATGATTCATGTGAAACCTTTGTTAATTAGTTGCCACTGGTAATTGTTGCAACGTGGCTCTGGTCAACATTTTGTTATAATTACATTACGTTCTATTGGTACGACGAAATGCTGTAGTAGTGACACTATAATTAATAGGATACGTTCGCACGACGAATTTAACCAAACTTCCCATATTTTAGTCTGCGAATCGATTATTTCTTTCGTCCACGTATTAACATTAAATCCAGAGCACCTGTGTTTAGAGATGCCAAAAAGCGGAATTAATTTTCCACCATTTCTTATCGAAAATATTAATCTTCGTTTAATCGATCTCGTTATTATGAATCGTTTCCGTGTAATATATTTTATAGGAAAGAGATGAAAACAGAATTGTCAGCATTTGTCAATTTGTTTATTCGAGTACAAATGGATAAATGCATGAGGGTGAGCTTATTAGTAAAACATCCAGTTCAACGACGTCGGTATATTAATGTTTATCGTTATTCGATTTAGTAAGAAATCTAATTATAAATTTCTTTCATTATTATTGTTATTATTACTTTTTTCATTTTTGGTCATTCGGTTTACTTGATTTTACTCCATTCATATGGGTTTTTTTTTAAGTTAAATAAGAATTGGTTATCCTACTTACGTCGGTGGATCAATTATTCGATTTTAATTGTTTCTATTTTTGTCGTTATGTTGAAACAGTGCATGACATATTCATCCATGTCGTTTGTCCATTTCATGTATTGTCTTAATTTTCCGTTCTTAGGGAAGCTCAGAAAACGTTTTCTTTTTTTTTTATTTTTCTCTACTTTTTCTCGGTTTTTCCTTTTAGTCATCTCTTACCAGTAAGGATTATTAAGAGGATACTTTGATCCCGCTCTTCTATAGGGTTTATTATTATTATTATTATTATTATTATTATTATTATTATTATTATTATTATTATTATTAGTAGTAGTAGTATGTTGCTTTTCTAATAATTCTTAAAGATGTTAATATTGGTTATACGATCAGAAATAAAAATGACTTTTTAAGATGATACATTTCTTACTATCGATTTTGAACGAGCAGCTATGGGAATATTTGAGAAAAGATCAGATTATCATTTTCAGTATTGCATGTATTCTTTTAAAATACAAGTTAATGGTTTATTTAAAATTCCATTTTTTATCATCCACAATAAATTTTCCAAGACCTCTTTTTGTTTTTTTTTTTGTTTCTTCTTTTATAAAACACGAGCAATTAAAAAGGTAAAATTTGTTTAAGCTTTTGAGCTTTGTAATTGTGTGAAATGAAAGCTGAAAAAAAAAAGAAAAAACATCTAAATACCAGTTCGCAGCCAAAATTTAACGCATTTTGGGCAAATTTAAAAATATTTGATTAAAATTGTTGATTCATATAAAAATCGGCTGTTTTTTACTCTAACCACGTATGTTGTGTTTTATTGCAATAAAATCCAATAAAATTTACAAGCCGTGCAATCGTTTATAAAAGTAATGAGACAAAAATACATGAGAAAACAATATAAAAAATTAAAAATGATAGCATTGATACTTTGATTCTCATTCAAGATTTAACGTTATATCACCCATTTTAAATAACTCACACCTATCTTTTTGTTTTCTTTGTTATTTCGTATTGTATATATATTTTCGCTTTTGTTTCGCTTTTTTATAAGAAAAGATTAATGTCATTGCAAGGATCGTTTTCACAAAGTTCGTGAAAACGTATTAAATGTAGATTCAAGAAAGCTTTTTTCCTTGTTCTTTTTTTTTCATTTCTCTCTCTCTTTTTCTTTCTCTTTCTCTTTCGCAAGATTTAAGATCATAAAGATTATAGCTTACGAAAAAAGACTAAAGAATGAAATTATTCAAAAGGTACAAACGCAAGAAACTCAAAATGGTCATTTCAACGTATCCTTTTAGTGTCACAATTCGTTCATACAGTGAACGTATCGACGTATCAACAGGAATATCGTTCAATTTGTGGCGGATTATTTGAGCGAATAAATCGGCCGAGCGTACCGATTAATTTCACTCGTTGGAATTGATATTTTCGCCATGGCTCTGACGCTTTTAATTTACCTACCTTCATGTATATCGAAGTACATACTTCGTTTTATCCGATTTTCCATTATCTTGCTTTTTTTTCACAATAATAATAAAAGAAAAAAGGACCGGAAGAATATCGTGATTGTTGTCACTAGATAGCAAAAATAAATAAAATTATAAATAAAAAAAGGTATGTGTTAGTACGATTGATATTGTTCTACTATTTCACTTTTTCGTTTTCCTTTTTTTTCTTTTTTAAAATGAATATAGTGTTGTATGTTTTGTTTTCAATATTTAAAATCGTGACATCAAGCGTGTTAAATTCATAAATTCATTTTTTTCTTTCCACTAGACATCAAGCGAATAATGTTGTTCCTTTGAGATTATGTCATCGGTTGTTTGCCGATGTTTCCATCTCGTAGCTTCTCTTTTTTCGTCTATTTGACTTTTACAATTAGTTATTCTTTTTCTTCTTTTCCTTTCATGGCTTATTTCTTGATATCTTTTCGGAATAACAGTGAAACACTGGGGAGAAAAGTTTGATAGTCGTTCAAGCTCGCACGAATCGCAACTTCTTTCTCTTTGTGGATTAATCTCTATAAATTGAGAGAACGCGTCACCATCGAAAGGAAGGAAGGAAGGAAGGAAGGAAATGGAAGAAAAAGAATAAGGACTTCGAACGACAGAATGACAATAAGCAGAGCGTGCATATTTTATATTTGACGTCGCTGAGTTCACCTGGCCGAGTTTCATGAAATTTAACTTTCTTTGTCTGTTTTTTTTTTTTTTTTTTAATCAAATGTTGAGTCATTTGCATTTGCATCTATGTATCCTTATATATAGGCAAACTGGTGATAATATAAACAGCTAATTTTTAGATTTTGTTTAATATTAAAACAAAAAATAATATAATCAATGTTATATTATATATTTTAAAATTATAATATAAAACACGAAACACTTTCTGCGAATGCTACAACAAGAAATTATTTTAATTGGTAAAATTAATTAGTAGAAGTAATTCCTTATTCAAATACTTTTTCACGCTATCACGATTTATCGATTAAACTTGAGACTAGAGTAAATACATATCTTGTTCATTTAAAAAAGCGAATGTGGCTGTTTGTGAAATTCAATGAATAAACGACGTGCTATGGAAGAAGGTGAGGATTAAATAAAGAACGAGAGACCGGATGCGATTCATGCTTCACCACTATCCTTACAACTACCATCAGCATTACCAAAGCTGCCTTACCACGTACGCGCTATACCGAATCACACTTTACTTCCTCGCTGTTTCTCTTTTCTCAAGTTAAGCGTTTCTGCTTTTTAATAAGCACTCCTACGCTCGAAATTACGAGCACGTTTCAGACCATAAATCAACGACGACACGGTGTACCTTACTTTCTAATCCTTACTCTTTTTTTTTTTTTGGTTTTCTTTTTTTCCTTTCCTTCCTTCCTTCCTTTTTTTTTCAACTCTCGAAATATACACTTAAGCGAGTCGAGAGGGAGAACCAAGCTTCTTTCTCGAAGTTTAACGAGGCAATATTTGCAGTAAGGAAAGTATCCTACAAACGAGATACCCATTGTATCCCCGAAGCAAACGACATATAATAAATTTTCTCGTTGAAAGCTAGCTATTCGAGTGTGTAGTATAATTTATTCGAGGCGACAACTGAGAGAAAGAGAGAAAGAGAGAGAGAGAGAGAGAGAGAGAAAAAGGATGAGAGAATTAAAGAGAATTTTCTCTTTCTCTCTGTTTCACCGTTTCATGACTTTCTCCCTTCGTTCGAGTTTCCCCTCTCTTTTAAAGTCATTTAAATTCTCGCCTTCGATCTATCTAATTCTTGGCATCG